TCCTGGTTTCACCAGTTTTTAGTAACATAAGTAAATAACCTTTGTAAAAGGCTACTAGCGAAAAAGCAAATTAAAGTGAATGACAGTAAAGGTAAGTCAGGTTCAGTAATTCACAATAATTTTACAATTACACGATGTATAGGTGTGTTTGTTTGTTTCACACGTTAGGTTAATTACAAATTAGAATTTGACCCAAAAACTATCTATTATGTATAGAAAAAGAAGAGAGTTAATCAAAATACAAGTAACACGTGAGATTTAGTGTATAATTAGTTTTGATAACAAGCAAATATGTCAAAATTCTTACCGTAAATAGAAAAAACTCTTACTCAAGAATAAACTAAAATAAATAACCCCAGATGTTGTCTATACTATGTGTACAACACAGCTCCATTTACCCACCGTCCCCACAACACTTTTATTGCCCCTGCCTCGAGCCAGTGCTGCTTTGTCGACACGCCGCAGTAGAGTGTTTGCTGCAGCGAAGTGCACTGCGAGGCCTCTTTCCTGCAAGGTAACGGAGAATTTTGATTAAAAGGGACCAACGCAAAGGCTTATTAGGTTTTTAGTCGAGGATTTAAGCTTGGGATAGAGGATTAAGGAACTGGAGACTCACTTTGCAGTGCCCAATTCCCTCTAATCACCTATCTCTAAGTTTTCCTGAATTCCTCTTCTCTGACGACATGAAATTCTTAGGCTTACGTGAAAGTGATAGACTGACAAATACTACGCGGTCGCTAGCCAGTAACACACGCAGAACGACGACACCACTTTTGATACCTTTGATGTCACAAGAAATGTTGCCTTGATGTACCTACAAATTATTCTTGCTCCTAGTAAGGATGTCCTGAGACGTGGGCACGAGACTCGCCAACAAAAATACGAAATAACTTGACACCTGTTTGTCTCTCTTGTATAAGAAGTACTGGTTCAACATTAACTTTTATTTTTTCCTTTCACTCTTAAATACGGAGGGAGAGGGAGGGCCAGGGTAATTATGGTTTACTAGGGTTATGCATACTAGACATACTTTTAATAGAATTTTAGTTATAGTTTACAAAATAATATTTGAATAGTACATTGTATATCACATATTTGTAACTAAATGATCCAAGAATTGAAACAAAACACAGTTTAAACTGAGGAGTGACTCTCGTGAGTTTCATTTATTTTCTTCACTCCGCTGGGGTACTGCTCTCATGTCAAGAACAAGAAGCATGAGATCAGTGCATGCACTGCATCGTCCAATCAGTGAGCGATACACAGTAAGGGAGCGGGGCGAGTATCTGAGGATTTCATCGGAGGATGGACTGGTGGTTCCTCGATTATCGCTCCTCCATTATCGCTCCTCGCTCCTCCGAGGAGCGAGGAAATGAAAATAGTCGACCTGAGACAGGGCCTATTTGGCGCTGGAAAAATGTAGTTTCCATAGTTTCCCCACAGCATCAGACGCACATTTATGACGTCCGCTGGCGCTGGCGCATCATAAATACGTCGGATAGCTAAAGTGCAGTCGGATTCTCTAAAGTACCGCAGTCTCTTCCATGGATGGTCTCTTCTCCTAAATTCTTTTTGAATTCTCCTATCCACTATCCCTTAACCCCGTGACGTTTCACTCAGTGGTCAAGGAATAGACGATAGGGTTAGACGTTAGGAGTTGATTTTTGGATTATCCGACCGCAACCTTCGACTGCAGCCATGCTCTGAGGTGATATCAATGAGGCTTCATGTTTATAGCTGATAAAACTTCTGCTACAGTAGAGAGACAGATGAACCATGACACTTATCGACAGCCAAAACAATGCAGTTCCCTTCCGTTTAAAGGAAAATACAGTAACGACTGACCGTAAGTTAAATGAATTTGTAGTAAAACATTCTTGTAGCGTTAGCAACTTCAATGTAGCATTACACTCAGAAGGTGGATTTCCTGCCATTAAAGATGTTGACATGTAGACTGCATTTATGATTTTCGCTGGTCATATTTAACTGATGATTTTACAGATAGGTGATTCAGAATAGACAAGTCGCCTTTGGACTGATCTGACAGCCCTTTGACATGATGACCTACTTTGGAGCAAGAGCAATCCTTCTCAACCTGAGGTACAGTTTCCATAAAGCAGGCTGCTTTACCAGAACCAGGCTCATCCATAGCTCCAGGACATATTTTGTAAAAAGAGGGCAGATACTGTCGCAGATACCCAAGGTGACGTTGCTATGTTGGGGTGCAGTCAATGCATCACCCTGTGCAGCCAGATGCCAGGAAGCCATTCTTCCACATCCAACCGCAGGCAAGAAATCCCTCGCCAAAGTCGAAGTGCGCAAATTCATATTTTTTCTTCGCATTAGCCTTCGTGCATTAGTCCTCCTCCTCAAATTTGGCCCCCTACTCCTCCTCTCGCCCCTGACTCTGGTGTCCACTCGCTGGGCGTCTTGCTGGCTGGGGGCTCTTCTGTGGGTCACTGAAACATCTGGTCCTACTTTCATCAAGCTGGGGCAGTGGGCCAGCACCAGACGGGACATCTTCCCTCAGGAGTTTTGTGAGCGCTTCTCCACGCTTCATGTAAAGGTGCGCCCTCACTCCTGGAGCCACACCAAGCAGTGTCTCCGGAGGGCCTTTGGGGAGGGCTGGAGGAGAGTTTTAATGTTTGACAGCAAAGAGCCGGTGGGTTCAGGGTGTGTGGCTCAGGTGTACAGAGGCTGGGCCAGGACAGACCAGGTGGAGGATCCAGCCTTCCAGTTGTTGGTGGAGGAGATGGAGAAAGAAGACCTGCTGGAGGCATGGGAGGTCCCTGGGCTGGGAGGAGTCGCAAGGGCCCTGCGACAGCTCTGGAGAGGGGGCAAGGAGGAGGAGGGCTATGAGGAGAAAGGTCGCTTTGAGGACAGCAGCACAGAGAAGGGCCATCTGATACCTGTGGCTATCAAGGTGAGTGTTAAAATCACAAAACAGCATCAATGGAGTCATGCCAGAATCATGCCTTCAGTAACCGTTTCTCGGAACAGACTGTCTATATTTTGGCTGTCAGGAGCAGAAGCTTATAAATAGTTTCTGGGGTTGTACAGGTGATTCATCCAGGCGTCAGGAGGCAGGTGGAAATGGACATCCTGCTGATGAAAATGGGCAGTTGGCTCCTGCACTGCCTGCCTGGACTCAAGTGGCTCAGTCTATGTGAGATAGTAGAGGAGTTTGAGCAGCTCATGACTAAACAGGTGGGAATATTCAGATCCCTACTTTTAAAATATACAGAATTTTCAAAAACCTTATTTCTTTAATTGCACATATGAGCCTATTTGTCTACTCTTTTGTGATACTTAAAGAAATACACCCTTTTTTCAGATTGATCTCCGCTTTGAGGCCAAGAATATAGAGCGTTTCCAGGAAAATTTCCGCAATGTGGATTATGTCAAGTTCCCAACTACGTTACGACCATTTGTTACCAGATCTATTTTAGTGGAGACTTTTGAGGTGAGTACAGACGGATTCAAAATGTATACAAAACACTGACAAACATGATTGAGTGGTAGTTTGAGCTCCAAATGTGCAATGTAACACATATCAGAATATCAAAAGCAAACATCTACAACTAATGAAAGATAGTCTTTCTTTTAACTCAACAACAATTGACAAAATGTCAGATTTTCAGGAAACATAGAATAACTGTGGTTTGAAATAATTATGTACATGAAGCCCACGTTGTTCTGTTTATTTTCAACATGTTTTTTCAGGAGAGTGAGCCCATATCCAACTACCTGAGACCTGACATTCCTAAGGAGGTGAAGCAGAGAATCGCCAGAATGGGAATAGAGACCATGCTGAAGATGGTGAGAAATGTCACCTGCAGGATATCTGTTGCATGTTATTTTTACCATTACTCTTATTTCATGACTTGTGTGAATGTGATTAAGATCTTTTAGATTGTATGTTTGCTTATTGTCTCCATCTATATGTCTGTTTTCCAGGTTTTTGTTGACAACTTTGTCCACGGTGATCTCCACCCGGGGAACATTCTGGTCCACTGCTCCGGGCCTCTTCCTGGTTCCTCTGACGGGGCTGGGGTCTCAGGGGAGGCTCAGGGTAAGACCACCCTCACTGACCTGTGGGACACGGTGGTGGTCAGCATCAGACCGGAGCCCTGTCCTCTGCAGCTGGTGCTGCTGGACGCCGGCATCGTAGCCCACCTCAGCGAGCACGACCTGTCCAACCTCAAGGCTGTGTTCACTGCTGTGGTGCTGCATCAGGTAATGAGGTTCATGCTGAACTATGATATAAGGAAAGTCTATGATAAAAATGATTGCATATCATGTAGAACATGGGTGTCCAAACACTAGAGCAGTGGTTCTCAACTGGTCAGGCCTCGGGACCCACTTTTTTCCTTGTCAATAAATCGCGACCCACCCCCATTTTGAACCGCTCAAATCTATTCAACAAAAAATCTGCATTCAATTGTAATTAAAGTGAAGTACAGTGAATATATCCTTATATCCCTTCACAGAACTAAAGTATGCTTTTAAAGAAAGTGTCATCTGATGAAGGTCATTAAGTTTCTAGAATCAAAGTTGAACTGTATAACCAAAAAAGGCGCACTTGACTTGTATTCATTCAATAAAAAGGCAGACATGGCGCCAATCCTGCAAATTCATCATACGTGAAAACGTGTCATGCTGTAAACCCAACCCCAGCAGGGGGGTCTGGGGGGATTCTCAGAAGATTTTTTGAAATACTAACATATAAATACGCATTCTGGTACACTCTGAGAAGAAAATAAAGAAATCTATTACCACCAGACATATTTAATAATAGTTTATGCCATTTTTTGATTTTTGTTCTGACAGCTGAACTTGCTGCTCCTCACAGAGAGAAGAGTAAAGAGGAGATATCTGTGTGAAATACATTAAATTGTGGGTAAGGGTAGATAGCTCCCATTGTTCTGTGGCCTGTCAATCATCAAACGGGGGGTCGTATTTCATTACGTGTTAATTTTTATCTGAATATGTACCCATGGATGTATAAAGAGTAGTTCTAGCGAAAAGTTATTCTCTGTCTGGACTTCCGGCAACAAAACCATGCCGTTATCTTGATTCTGATTGACCAGAAGACTCAAAAAAACCTCAGCAAACATGTTTTATTGAGAAGATTATCACTACAGTACGTCACTGAAGTTTTCAAAACCGTTGATGTTCTCCGGCATTTCCAGTCCAACGCCTAATGCATGCGCAGAATTAGAAAATTGGGCTTTCAAAATAAAAGTTACAGTAGACTTTTTTTGGAAAAGAAAACAGTTATCATTTTCTTTTTTCACTCCCACATCTGCGACCTACTCGAAATGGGTCGCGACCATAGACTGTGGTCGCGACCCACCAGTTGAGAACCACTGCACTAGAGGTCAGGTTTATTGCCTCATAAGTGAAGTTATAAGTTAGCAAAATCAATCAAATTTAAGTAAATGATGCTTGATCAGCCTACATCACAGCTTTCCATAGGGTTTTGTTTATTTTGTTAGCAGCTCATTCCTTAAAACAGAAGCCTTGGATTGATTATCATAAGAGGAAATAGGAAGGGTATATTCAAAGGTTGTTATGTTAATAAGTTGTTGGGCTTTTTTCTTATCAATTTAGTTTGCACACCCCTGATGTAGAAGATGGGTTTCAAGCAGTGTACTTATATTAGCCCTTAATGACCTTTTTTTAAATGGCTAACAAGAAATGTATGTAATCTGTAGGTCACATAAAACCTCCAGCTTTGACTAACTGTTGCCATGGTTTTGGATTTCCTTTTCTCAGGGCGAGCGAGTGGCAGAGTTGCTCCTGAATCACGCTCGGGCCAATGATTGCCAAGATGTCCCGCAGTTTAAGAAGGAGATGGCCCAGCTGGTGGACAATGCTCTCAGCAAAAGCCTCTCCCTGGGAAAGGTACTTACCTGGAATGGCAAATATCTCAGTGTTATACTTATTCCTATGCACACACAGTTTATGGTGTTTCTTGGTTTTCTGTTGGGGAATAACAGTCACTAAAGATTTCTCATGATGTCTTTTGTTTGCTGTGTTTATAGTTCCAAGTGGGGGAATTGCTGTCCAGAGTCTTTGGTGTACTCATCAAGCACAAGGTAAAATATCAGGTTACATATTTATGTTAAAAAAAACTACTACTGTAGCTTTAAATGCTGTACTTAGGATACTGCCAACTGTCAATCAGGGGAGGAAACATCATTTGAATCCCTGATGGGACGTGGCAATGTAGTTTAAAACATAATTATACTGTCAATGAATATTTGGTTTTATTTTCTTAACTGAGAAATCTATGAATAATACAAGTCTTTAAAGACATAATGCTATACTTCAAGGTCTTCAAAACTATCTTTGTACACGTGTCATTTGAGCTGGTTTAATACAAGTACCAGCTTTGTTGCAGAAAGGTGTTTGATCAGCTATTAAACTCAATGTTGATTGTTTTTCTAGGTGAAGCTGGAGAGTAACTTTGCCTCCGTTGTGTTTGCCATCATGGTGCTGGAGGGTCTCGGCAGGACACTGGATCCAAACTTGGACATACTGGATATTGTCAAACCTCTGCTGCTAAAAAACTATACCTCAAGGCTCTGACACACACACAAGAGCTTAAGCACACTGGGCATCTGTAACAACGCAACACACCTACACTCTATATATTTTATACATATAGTAGATCTAGAGAGAGTGCATGTGTGTGCTGTGTTCTCGATATAGTGGTGGTTGTATTCAAGCTAACAAGATGCCACTGTGGGGGCCAAAAACACAGTTTCTTCACTCCATACCTCATTTTTAATTTGTTGTATTCCCACTTTGATCTCTGCTTCTCATGCGTTTCATCATCTACTGTGTTTGTGCTATCATTTAATTTAGAGGAAAAGAATCTTCCAGGCGCCTCTAACTGAGCCTAATGAAGGAGAGTGTGTTCTTTACACGAAGCAATCTCGTGTTTATTGAGTGCTAATGGACTCGGACATAGATTGCATCAGAGACCATTTGTAGTGATTTAAGATATAAGAGGAAATACTGTGACTGTCCCTTGTTGCTCTCCAATGCATGTTTAACTTTTCAATGACTGATATTGATCTCAAGATGTCTTTTATTGCTCTGTATTTTATTGCATCCGAGATAATGTTGTCTAATGGGCCATATTTGCTCTTGTATGAATCACTATACTGTTCCATTGACGAAGTGAAGGCTAGACTAAGTGTGCACACAACTGAACCATCTCTTCTAACTTTCCATTAAAATAGTGGGAACACTTTTATGAATTATTCATTTCAATAAAAAAGGAATCTGTTAAATGATGTTTGTTTTTGTTACCAAGTGAAGGTTTTCTCACCTTTTAGTGACTGGTGCTGCTTCAAAGCAGAACATTCATTACATCATGGGCACAGTATCCATTAATTTACAATTTTATTAAATCTGTCAATGAAAAACACAGACGAGAGATGCGTTTCTGTCAATGTCATCAGGAAGAACAGTCAGCATGGCTGAAAGAGTGAAATCAGGAGGTTTTTGGTGCAAAAAAAACTCATCACATACCCTTTATTGCAAAACTGTTGACTTTTTCTTTTATCACCATCAAGAGCCCAGATAGAGCAGCACTGTTCAAGTAAGGAGGGAGGGGAGAGGTGACAACTGTGTAAAAAAAATCTTCAATAATAATTAATAATAACAATGACAAAAGAAAGTCAAAACATCTCTAAAAGACAAACACAATCACCTCAGTATAAGACGAGATTATGTCACGGTCACAACAACCAGAGAAAAGTTGTTTTATTTTTTTCCCTCTTTTTTTAATGAATTAAATAGTTTTTAAAAATATCTCACCATTTACTTATACTCATCTTTTTTCATTTATTGCGAAAAATAGGCAACTGGACTAATTGTGACGATGTTCTCTTGTGTGTGTTTCTGTGTGTGTGTGTGTGTGTGTGTGTGTGTGTGTGTGTGTGTAACAGAGAAATAGAGATTAAGTGGAGAGATAAAGTGGAACGTCTCGGAGCGTCGGCACTGAGAGTAGCAGCAGTGTGTGGCAATGCAGTACTCTCATCCAGCCACCAGGTGGCACAATTCAGTATGAACATCCCTCCAGGGCCGGAGCGATGGCCCACTGTGTCAGAGGAAGTTAAAATATGCCAACGACAGCCTCTGTTTTTGGAATGATGCTTGTGTGTTGAAACTTTGTCCACGGTCGCTTGTCTGCGTTGCAAGATCTCAGTTCTATGTACAAAGGTTTCAAATCCCTGAAGGACATCTACAAAGACAAGTGCAACCTCCATGTGACCATCCCCTTTCTGGAATAGTTAAGGGATCAAAGGGGAATAGTACCAATCAGATAGATTAGGTAAACGTGCCACGACAGAATCAACAGAATTGTTCTTGGGAATAAAATTCAGGAATGATGGCTGAGGACCAAGAATTAGGGATGTCAAAAGCTGAAGGGGAACAGGTTGTAACATAGTTTCCTCACTCAAAGGGGGCACCAAAATATCCTAACACAAGTCTTTCTAACATAATGTCCAAGAGAGGTGATGAAACAGGAAAGAAAGCAGCGTAATGCACAAATAAAATATCGCATCCATCGTCCATTTGTTATATCCGTTCATGCTGATCCATCAGTCTCTCCATGCATTTTAAAAATAGTCTTTTAAGACCAAGCAGTCCTCCTCCGTGTTGAATTGATTGTATTTTGTTTAATGCTCGTCCCGCACTTTATCTGTCAGTCTTTGTCAGCCCCCTGGAGGACTGGCTGCCCTCCAGTTCTCTGAGGCGGCCCCCAGCAGGAGCATATAGCTCATTTACAAGGTGGATAGAAGGGACACCAAACAGTTAGGAGGGGCTTCTTGGGATTGGATTTGTGGAAGAAATCAGGGTGTAAACTTTAAGTACGGTGTGGGTGTGCGTCCTTCCATAGCAGGGTGAGGGAGCGCAAGGAAGGCCAACAGGGCTGGAAAGAGAGAAGAAGGGTCTATGTATAGATCTTAAGCTCAGCGCTCATTATCTTCTCCTAAACACAATTGTCTTTGAGGCCCAAGCTACGTTAAGGTCATGGCAGATGAAGCTTCTCGTTGACTTTTGTTTCACATCATCGAAAAGATCAGCAGCTCTCAGTGATCCATGACTGGATCCAAACAAGGTAAAACTGAGAATTCGTAGGAGATTAGATGGAAGGGACTGGCTCTCCACGGCAGAACAAAGCACATCTGTTCCCAGACTTCTCCCTTTTACGTGAGCAGCATCTATCTTTAAATTATCTTTTTGGGAGATGTTTTGGAAGACACAGCTACTATGCCAAATTATCTCCATATGCTTGTCTTTGAATTCCTTTTGGGAATGTATGAGGGGCTTGTGTGGTATTTAAGCCTACTCAGATAAGCATGAAATGGATGTGTGGGATAGGGCAGGAAAGAATAATCATCTACTCCGACTGTCTTTAGCTTCTCTCCATGCTGTTGTTCCACCGGCTGCCACCAGGGGGGGGGATGTTTGGGCTAACAGTGGGGGGACGAAGGGAGGAGGGCATCTGATCAGACATTGTGGCTACGAGTTGAGCCAGGGGTGGTTGAGGCATTCGCCGGCCGAGGCCCTCTTCTCGGGAACCATCTCCAGCATGGGCAGCAGGAACTGGGTGAAGAGGCCGGCGTCTTCGTGCGCCCAGCCGTACTTCTCCACCAGCACGTCAAACAGGGACCAGGGCTTCAGCTTGGTGATGTGCCGCAGCTCGCCTGCAGGGGGCGACAGAGAGCAGAGTCAATGACAGCATGAGGATGTGAGAGATAAAACAGAAGGGCGGAGTTAAGAGGGTCGGTTCACCAAAATGTAGTTTCTGTTCGAAAAACCCAAAAGACTGGTGATAGTACTAAGGTTACTTTTAAGAAGGATCATCCAAAAACTACAATGAATTATCTGTGGACAACTTGTAATGGATACGATGTTCATTCATTATGAGGAACATGGCACTGTGGCTTATTTTGTGTAAACACTAGGCCTACATATGCTGTCTGCTACTGTAAAAATACATAGACCTACACATTTGTATAATACATGGCTGAAAATAGTCCCCAACTACTAACTGACTATTTACACCTGTTAAAGTAATGTAAGCTAAAAAAAAGTACACTTAGGTAAGCCATTTTAGAAATTAAATGTACTATATATATTTTTGTCCCATTAGGCAGTAACAAATAGATTGCCACGGACGGTATTGAGATCAGAAAGGGTTGGTCGACAGACAGGTTTGTTGGTTTTGTTTTGTATGTTGGTTGATGTAAAAAGATCAAACACCAGCATTATCATTTTACTTCACTTAGTAATATCTAGCCATGCAGATCGTTTTAGTTTTGACTCTTCACTTAAGATATTTATCTCAGAGATCTCAGCCTCCACCTCATGACGGTCAACATTTAAAAAAAAAATCACACTAATAAAAACAGTGCTCAGTGAAGTATGTACAGATGGTACAGAGTTAGGGTGGGAGATTCAACTAACTTTATTATACCAGGGCCAGAATTACAGATATCACCATCAATACCTTTCTATTATTAAAAGCAGCCATTGATTTTTAAGAACGTGAGCTTACATGAGACAAATTGTGTATTTATTCTTAAAAAGCTGCAGGTTGTTACTCTACACTGTATACAGGACTTGGTCATTTACAGTGACTATGAAACATTTAAAAAAAGATATTGCTGTTTAACTTTGTAATTGTTCAATGTTTTGTGCCAAAAAACAAAAATATATCTGCCCGGACAGATTCCACAAAAGGCAAGACATGCTTTGGGGTTATTTGGGTGAACTGACTCTTAAATCCTTGGCCAAAGCAGGCCATAATTCTGCAGGCTCCAGCCAAACACTACAGCAGCTGATTTCCCTGGTATCATTGCCACTGTGAACATGTGTTACACTGTGAGCTGCTGTAATGATGGGGTTGAGTAACCTGTAGAATTATTGTCTGCAAACCACAAGAACAGAGGGCGACAGGTAGAGAGAGAGAGAAGTGGAGATGTAATGGAAACACACGAGGAGAGGAAGTTGTTCTTTATTAAATAGAGAAAGAACATGGTTGTCTGGGAGCGGATGATTAATGATGGAGGCAAAACCCAAGGGTCAGTTCAAACCACAGCTGCCATGGTAACCTCTCCTTCCTATACACTGATTGGAGAACATGAGATGGGAGAAAGGAAACCATCGAGATTCCTTTTATTGTATTGATGAAGTTTTAGTGTCTAAAAGGACGTTTTTTTGCATTATTACAGACATTGACTGTCCCAAATGACTGTGTACTTATAATCTTTACACCTGTGTTTTATGAAAGTGTTCAATTGTTTTGTCTCCCCCATCAATGTGCATGAAGGAAACGCAGCCGCTTGATTGCACCGCACGTCAGAAAGCAGACAGCAGAAGCCCGGAGAGACAGAGCGGGAAAAGTCAGACCAGATTAACGGAGCGCCAGGGGATAAAAGAGAGAACATTGAGACATCAAGTGCAGGCACAGACCTCAGATAGAGACAACATCAAAGGCAAAATATTCAGGTCTCATGACACGTTATAAAGAATATACGAGCAGAAAGGGAAGGAGATTGGGGGGAAAAGAGAATAAATGAGAGAGTGCAAAGGGTTATCGGCTGTACCAAACACAGATCCAGACACTTACCCGGCTCATAGAGGAGCAGTCAGAGACATTTAAGACCTGAGGTGCAGTAAAGCCTCACTGTTCTGAGAGTACGACTTTACTCTCATTGGTATTGTAAATCCTGCCTTTGTAATCTTATTCCTAGAATAGACTACCTTCTTCTTTAACCCTAACCCTAACCATTAAGTTATTGATTTACCCTCAAAATACAATCTGTAGAGGTGAATTACTTCAAGCGAAATTGGTTGTTTTGATTCTGGTTGTTTCATACATTTATATTTCAAATTAAATCATTATAAAAAAAGGTATAAACAATCTATGCTGGTTCGTTGAAATCTATATTAAAATAATACATGTCTATAAATGTCTGATTTTTCCTCTGATGGCAGTGAATTAAATGAACCATTTTGTTGCATTCCATAAGTAGAAATCAGTATTACTTTATTAATTATATTTTCTTTTGCCGATTGTCCAAAGGGGTATTAAAAAATATTATTATATTTTATTATGACTATATTATATAGGACCAGTTTCCTACTACATATAAGAAAAATACTTCAAATATGTACAACAAAATCAGCAAAACCTGATTTGACTTTTTTTAATCAAGTAATGTAGTCTTTGAATTGCTTTAACAATGAACATGTTTTTGTGTCAAATGTAATTTACTTCAGGCCACAGCAGGTGTGCCTTTATTTAGGAATGTGTTTTTATTGACCTATTAAACCATGAAAATGTTGTCTTTCCAGAGAACAAAAAACGACATAAACCTGAAGCCTAAAACTCAAATACAATGTGATCATTTCATAATGATGCAATATTAATGGAAATCAATAAAGCTACAATTATTAATGGAATATTTGCTGTGAAAAAACGATTTGAACTGCCTTCATTTAGTACTACTACTGTAGCAGTACTACAAAAGTAATGACACTAAAAACGTCCCAAAACCTCTACGCAGCTCCTCCTCTCACAAAGCTACATGAGGCCTCCCCTGCCCTTCTCCTGACGACCTTTGACCCCGGTGTTGTTTACCTTTCTTGGAGAAAAACTCTCGGCTGAACTTCCCGGCAGCGAACACTTTGCGTGGTACCTTCCCAAGGAGCTCCATGATCAGAGCGATGTGGTCTGCCCACCACCACATACATCACAGAGGGAACAGGCACGATTCAGCATTACAACATGCACACACACACATCAACACGGCGGGCTGTATGGGACCGACACACACTGCTGCCTTGGGCTGCTCCACGGAACACACAGCTACTTTAACCCCTCAAGTGGTGGGGATTTCATGAGATTGATCCCACTGATTTCAGTCAAAATGTTTAATTAAAGGTCCCCTATGATACTGTTTTTCATCAATATATTACAGGTCTCAGATATATACAAAACATGTGTCTGGAGTGTTTGTCTCCAAATACCAAACAGATCATTGCAGCATTACCCATAATCCCCTCTGTTTCAGCCCTGTTTTAAAAGTGCTGATTCTCTGTCTGTTACTTTAGATGAAAATAAGGAGCCCCTCCCCACGCCCCTCTGAGAGATATTTCGTTAAAGATAACACAATGGTGCTCTAGAAGGAGATTCAGGTGATAAGGGGGGGGGGTTCCTTGGTTGCTGATTGGCTAATGGTTACACAAGCCAAAAAATCGTTATGACATCATAAAGTGGCCAAAATCTGATCAGCTCATTTTCAGACAGTTTTTTATATAAATGGATCAGGACAAAAAGAGAGAGAATCTTTGTTCCTGAAACTTTCAGAATCTCTTTACACAGAGGAGACACATGTTGATGTATAAAAGACGTGAAAAAGTGGATTTTGCATAATAGGTGACCTTTAATACATCCAGTTATTACCTATCTAATCCACAGCAATATAAGCTTATTTTATTATGGGTTAAGCTAGTGTCCATGTCTGTAAGTTTTAGGCCTCTGTGTGTCCCAGTCCCACCAGCTCTCTAGCCAGCGCTACCTCTTCTGTTGAAGAACTCCCGGGAGTATTTTCCGGAGAGCGCAAAGTGCCTCGGAATACAGCCGAGCAGCTCTATGATGTGGGCTATGTGGTCTATAGAGGAGAGAGGGAGGTGGGAGGGAGGGAGGGAGGGGAAGGGGGAAAGGAAGAAGGACGAAGAAGAAAAAGAGAAAGAAGAAAGACAAGGAAGGGGAAACTTAAATAAAAGAGAAGGAGAGATAGAGGGTAGAATGTGGATAGGGAAATAAATAAGGAAGTGACAGATACAAAAGATCATGGAGGGGTTTGGGGAGGAGTAAAAAGAGAGGGGAGAGGAAGGAAAAAAGAGAAAGTCACAGACAGTAAAGGAGAAAAACCTGTGTTAGTGAGCTGTGCCTCCACAGCAGAGGTGATGAAATGAAATAATCAGCCTTGGAATAAAAGAGACATGCATGAGATTCAGAGTTGAATGAAGTGAAACCTGAAGCTAGATTTTCTAGTTGGCCTCAATGGAGGGAGATGAAAGGTTTAAATCAAGATCAATCTGACACTGGCTTATTGCCTGTGCAAAACGTGCCAAACGAGGCTAACTGTGAGTCACATGCAATGGGAACAATGACAGGACGAGCTGGTGAGATCAAAGCTCACAGGAGATAAAGAGATGAGGTGAGGAAGAGGGTGCATACACAGGGTCTGATTTTCTTTATGAATGAACATGTGACTTCATGCTTCTGTCACTAACTGTCACCGTTTAACTGTTTCTACAAAACAGATCTGGTATGCTACAAAAGTCTATGGATTGAGAACAATGACAGGACAATGTGTGATGTCTCTCTATATCTAAGAAAGGTTGGGTGAAGATGAGTGGAGGCAAAGCAGCAGAATAAAAGGACAGAATTTACAGTTGACAGTGGATAGGGGGATTTGGGGAAGGGGGTAGCTAAACTCATTTTGGCCATTTTTATCAATGTATACGTTTTTAATTTATAATTAATAAATTAGTATTGGTATATCACAGTTCTTGGCCATTGTTCAGATGCATTGTTAGAAACAATAGCCACACTTTTCTGTGGACGACATGCTGACAAAACCACACATGCATGCTTAAAACTGTACAGTCTATGAAAAGAAAAAAAGTGTACAGATCTGATTTTGGTGTCTGCACTTGTATTAAGCGTTTTTCAAACTTAATTACAAGTAAATTAAAGTTTAGTGAATGAATTTCAAGCTGTGACTGCATCAGTGCATGTTGTGGCACACTTGGCATCAATGCATCTGAACAATGGATTCAATCGGTAAAGCAAATTGAGATTGAATAGCACACAGACACATTTTATACAAAAATACCTCAAATTAAAGTAAGAACACTTTCAAAAACATTTAGCGACATTTTCCATTAATATTAGCTCTTTTTCATTTAATAATGCACATCTAGAGAATTCAAATGTAATACTAATAAGTCTTTAAATACAACTTTCCCCTGGGGAACACCTACGAAAGCATTTTACTGTATATTTCTATATTTGTCTGTTTACACCATGAACATTTAAACACTCACCCTCATCACGGGAGTAGTCCTCTCCAGAGTGGGGCTCAAATAAGTAATCTCCAGTGGCCAGCTCAAAGGTCTACAAGAGATCAAATTAAATATTTTACTCGAGTCTATACTGATATAAAGGAATGAGTTACACCAGTGGCGAACCGTCAGGGCCTTCAAGGTATTCAGAGAATACCCTGGAACACTCAGATAAAACAAACAAAAAATCAATTTAATTATATAAATAAAATGTAATAAAATGTATATAAAATGAATAAATGAGAATCGTATCTGTGTTGTTTATCTGTAATATTACAGTGTTACGTTGATTTGTTTGTCCTTCTCGGACCATGCACTACGCATTTCAGTGGTTTTGTGTTAGAAAAGAAAGCAACCAATCAGATCTTGTTCTGGGTCTCTGGGTAGAATATCCTTCAACCAAGGTATTCTACATCCTTGATAGAATGCCCTGGCCGTTGCACTGAATGAGAGCGTACCTTTGGACTGACAGCTTGATCAACCAATCATTTATTGATTTGTAGCCAATGGGCGTATTCTTTCAGAGTTTCCCTCGGTTCCAGGGTACTCTAGTCTAGATGGCCCGCTAACTGGCTCCAGACAGAGGATCTAGGAATGCGACGAAGCAATTCATGCCGTTTTATTGTTTTTAACGTTGAAATGACAAGTGCAAAAGGTGAAGATGAAGTTGTTGCGGAATTGTTGTGAGTACCCTTTTCAAGACAACAATTCAGTGAAAAGACGGACATTATAACGCCGGGTGGGGGGCGCCGGGGGCGGGCCGCGGGCGGCGCGCCGGGGGGCGTGTGCTCGTGTGGCTCC